GCCTTTTCGGCTGTGTGTTTGCCGTCGTGAGCTCCTCTGAGGGCACGTTGGAATCATCTCGGCCGTCCTGGAGCGCCCTGGGGCCTCCCGCTCCCGCTGTGGCCCAGCTTGGGCCTGTCCTGGGGCTCTCTTGGGCAGTCTTGGGCTGCTCTTGGGCAGTCTTCAGGCTCTCCTGAAGAGCCTGGGGGCTCTGTTGGGGGGCCTCTTCGGCGGTCTTGGGGCGGTCTCGGGGGCGTCGTCGGCCGTCCTGGAGCGTCGGAAGGTCGAAAACGCGAGAAACCGAAAATCATTTAAAAAAACACATGAAAATCCATGATGAAGGCCTCTTCGGGCTCTCTGGGAATGCTTCTCGGAGCTCTCTTGAGGCCTTCTGGAGGCCTCTTGGGCTGTGTACTTGCTGTGTTGGGCCCATCTGAGGCCACATTGGGGCCATCTGGGCCGTCTTGGAGCGGCTTGGGGCCTCCTGCTCGCGCTCTGTGGCTCAGCTTGGGCCGGTCCTGGGGCTCTCTTGGGCCGTCCGGGGCTTCTCCTGGGCAATTTTCAAACTCCCTGGTGGCGTCTCGGGCTCTGTTGGGGCCCTCTTCGGCGGTCTTGGGGCGGTCTTGGGGGCGTCGTCGGCCGTCCTGGAGCGCCGAAGGTCGAAAACACGAGAACCCGAAAAACATAGAAAAAAAATGATCAGGGCCTCTTCGGGCTCTCTCGGCATGCTTCTCGGAGCTCTCTTGAGGCCTCTTGAATGCCTCTTGGGCTATGTATTTGCGGTCTCGAACCCATCTTGGGCCACGTTGGTGCTGTCTGGGCTGTCTTGGAGGGGCTTGTCGAAGTCCCCGAGGGCTTCTGGAAGCTCTTTGGGGCACTCTGGGAGCTCCAGGGCCGCTCCGGGGTATATATATATATATATACACATACATACATACTTATACATATACATATACATATACATATATATATATACATATATACATATGTTCATGTATGCATATATGCACCTATAAACATATGTACATATATACATAAATACAGAAAAACAAATATACGTATATACGTACATACATACATACATACATACATACATACATACATACATACATACATACATACATGCATGCATGCATACATACATGCATGCATGCATGCATGCATGCATACATACATACATACATACATACATATATGTATGCGTATACGTATACATATGCATACGTATATATAGAGATATATGTATGCATATACGTATACATATACATATACATATACATATACATACACATATACATACACATACACATACACATGCACGTACACATACACATACATACATACATACACACATACACACATACCTACATGCATGCATGCATGCATGCATACATACACACACACATACAAACATGTATACATACATACGTACATACATACGTACATACACACGTACATACCTACATACATGCATGCATGCATGCATGCATGCATGCATACATACATACATACACACACATACATACATACATACATACATGCATAATGGCACACATACAAACGTACATACATTCATAACCACACATGTACATACATACAGAAAAACAGACAGACAGACAGACAGACAGACAGACAGACCTACATACATGCACACACATACATACATACATACATACACACACACATACATACATATAGATTTATATATACATACATACATACATACATACATACATACATACATACACGCATACATACATACATACATACATACATACATGCATGCATGCATGCATACATACATACATACATACATGCAAACATGCATACAAGCATACATGCACACATACGCATTGGTCCTTATACTCAAACTCTTCCGATGTTTCCCCGCAGCGCAGCGCGGCGGAGGAGGGATGAGATCACCCCGCAGGGCTTGGAACAAGACTACACAGGCCAACCCCGCGAGCGCAAGAGAACTCCACTGGCAAAGAACCCATGGAAACCCAATAAGTTCCGCGGAACTCTAGCAAGCATCGGGCGGAAAGGTATCGGCATCACGTCGAGCGACAACCTCGACCATAAAAAGGCCGAGATTCCACCACACCTCACGAGAAAGGTTGCCATTGAGGGTGAGAAACGAGAATGCTTCCCCAAAGGGCAAACACTGGCAAGAGCCGTGAGGGGAGAAGGTCCTGAGGGAAAAAGAACCTGGGCCCGTGGGATTTCTTCCAAACAAAATTTCATCCTGACCCGTTTTCTGACGTTCCTGGGACCGGGAAGGGCCCAACAAGGCCGAAAACGATCAAGCCGAAAAAGATAAGAATAGGAAACTCCTGGGGACAGAGCTGGGACATGCCCCAACGTCGGCTTCGCCCCCGACCTGCCAGCAGACTGCCGCGTTAGACCCTGAGGACCCCTTGGCGCGCTGGATATGTCCGGGGGGCTCTCGGTGAACGAAGCCCCATGGCCATCTTAGGAGCACCGCGGGAAACATCCCCGAAATCCGAAGAATGAAACATCGCGAAAAATCACGCTCAGAAGCCCCTCTCCAACGAGGTGCTCCCTGCAGGCCCCGCTCCAACGAGGTGCGGTACACAGCTGCTCGGGAGAGCCGAAAAACTACGCATCATACCATTTCTGGGTCGAGGATCGGCTACTCATCGGTTGATGCCAACGCGGCACGGTGTATGCAAGTCGTCCGCGGAGGCTGTTACCCATGCTCACCGCATCTCACTTGCCCCACCGCGGGCCGCGGCTGCGAGGCGGAGGGGTGGGGACACACTCTGGCGGTGGACCTGGGAAAGTCCAGAGGGTTTGCCTTCCTCGCACGAGGGTTAGGCGGAGGCGGTGGCCTAACGCCCCCGTGCTATAGCTCCTTCGCGAGGGTGGGGGGGGGGGGGGGGGGGTGGGGTGGGGGGGGGGGGGGGGGGGGTGGGGGGGGGGGGGGGGGGGGGGGGGGAACACCACACACACCCCCCCCCCCCCCCCCCCCCCCCCCCACCCCCCCCCCCGCGCCCACCTTCGCATAAAAGGGTGGGGAAAGATAGGAGGGAAGTCGATCTGGAGAATCGCGAGGGTTTAGAGAGACGAGGGGAGAGAGGAGGAGGAGTAGGAGAGGAGAGGAGAAGGAGGAGAGGAGGAAGGAAGGAGGAGGAGGAGGAGAGGGAGGAGGAGGAGGAGGCGGAGGCGGAGGCGGAGGCGAAGGCGGAGGAGAAGGAGGAGGAGGAGGAGGAGGAGGACGAGGAGGAGGGCCCCCCGCGCCTCCTTGCGCGACAGCTCCTCGCGCTCCTTGGAGCTGAGGCCCTCGCGGCGCGCGCGGGCGCGGCGCGCGGGCCTCCGTCGCAAGGGGGCAGGCCGTCCCCCCGCCTCGCTCTGCGAAGGGGGCCCGCCGCCTCGCCATCGGCACCGACCTCTGCCGTGGAAGAAGCCATCCGAGAAGTACTCGCGTCGTGATAAACTCAACGGATCGAAACACCACCATCATCATCAACATCATCATCATCATCATCATCATCATCATCATCATCATCATCATCATCATCATCATCATCATCATCAGCATAAATATCATCAGCTTCATGCATCATACAGCATCACAATCAGCATCAGCATCAGCATCAGCATCACACACATCAGCATCACATCATCATCATCGTCATCTCATCATCAGACATCATCATCATCATCATCATCATCATCATCATCATCACCATCATCTCATCATCATCACATCAGCATCAGCATCAGCATCAGCATCAGCATCAGCATCAGCATCATCATCATCATCATCGTTGTCATCGTCATCATCATCTGCATCATCATCATCATCATCATCATCATCATCATCATCATCATCAGCAGCAGCATCAGCATCAGCATCAGCATCGAACATCAGCATCAGCATCAGCGGGCCGACGCCCTCTCTCGCGGGAGGCGCCGGAGAGCCGCGCGGGCTCGGCCCCTCGCCGCTCCCGGTGGCGGGCAGGCAGGCGGGCGGGCGAGAGCCGCGCCCGGACGGCGCAGCGGCAGAGAATGAGACGCTGGAGAGACGTGCAGGCGCCGTGCCTGGAGGCGTGCCTGAGCACATGCAGGAAGGCATATGCGTGCAGGCGCCGTGCCTCGGTGGGCATGCGCCGGAGCCTTCGCTCCGGAGCATCGCGAGTCAGGGCCGGGCCCTGCTTCCCAGTGATAGAAGCCAAAAAATTCACCCCCAGAATAACCACCCCGACACGCGAAGTCGTTCAGTAAACAACGCGCCCAAACAAAAGGAGTCAAACAGGGCAGGGCTGTGCAGTGAACGCCCAGGGCCGTATAGTAAACGCCAGTTGTCCGGTCCGGGTGGTTTTTCTTCCCTCGAAGTGAGGGACAACGACGGCGTCGGCCAACCCAAAGGATACGTCGGGTTGGGCGTCGGGCTGGGCGTCGGGAAGGGCGTCGGAAAGGCCGTCGGGCAGGGGGTCACCGGCCTAGGGGGGGGGGGGGGCACATCGACCTGGGGTCGGCGATACATCACCGACTGATCGGCGATAGGCCCCCGATGGCGAATCCGCACGCTCCAGTCGGGGGCGCGCAAACATGGATCAGCGACCCATGAATTTGGCGCCCGCGCGCCAAGTCCATGGATCGGGGGAGGTGCCCTCCCCAAAATGCGGCCGGTGCCGCCTCGTTCGGCGGCGGGAACCCGCGATTTCCCACGGAAGCAGGACCCGTCGCTAATCCACGCCCCCTCGATCCATGTTTGCGATCGCCTGATCCAGGGAGGGGTGGGGCGATCGGACCCCCTGTCGGCGATCCATGGGCGATGGGGGGCCGGTGCATCCCCCCGTGTGCCCATCCCACCCCCTGCCGTTGCCCACGGCCAGGCCCACCGCCTCTCGCCCCGCCCGCCTCCGCTCTTCTTCTACCTCTTCCTCTTGTGACCACATGATTCAGACTAGCATGATCACTACTGCTGCGAGTAGCAGCACGAATACTGTTATACATATGGTTGTCTCAGTGCTCGTACTACTCTTGGTATGACTCGAAATGCTGTTGCTCGTAGTGTTACGATTAGTAGTATCATCCCCCCCCGCGTGCCCTTCGTGAGCAGTCGCGCGAGAGCCCTACAGCTCGAGGCACGCTGAAACCGGGGCCGCCTTGGGCTCACGAGGAGTTATGGCCTTCGGGCCGTGCCTCAGACATGGGCCTGGGAGCCCCTTCGTGGCCGAGGCTGGCCGTGGCTCCTTCTTCGGGGATGGACAGACCCCCCTTTAGCAAAACGTGGTTTGGTGAAAACGACCTGAGGCCCAAACCTGGCGGGCGCAAGCCTGGAAAATAACGGCCACGGCGCCCTCTCGAGAACCGAAAACGGACAATTCACTAATCGGCGTGTCACTGTTGGGGGTTCTGTCCACCCCCGAAACTTATTCCGCGGCCCCTGTCGCAGCAGCTGCTCTCTCAGGAACTGGCCGGGGCCCAGAATCTGAAGAAGGTCTGCGCCCAAGCGAACCTCGACGGGGGTGTCCGGCACCCCAGCGCCGACAGGACCCGCAGGGGTGGGGTTCGCAGGTGGTCGCGGATCTGGGGAAGCCCGTGCGCGTCGGGGGCGCAGAGAGCCTCGATGTTCGTTCTCGCACCGTGGTAGGCCAGGGTGATGCGGTTGGTGATGCGCGTGGATAGTGCTGCTGCTGCTGTAGTGACGGAGTGGCGGTGGTGGCGGCAGGGCGGCAGCAGCTGCTTTGGACGCCCAGGACATGTACGGAAGAAACGGGCACGATGCCCAACAGTTAAAGTCGTCCAAAGCCGACAGCGGCCGCTGCTGGGCAGGCAGACTTCTATCTCAAACGAAGCGAGTCCGCGGCGACACCGACAGCGATCACACTTGCGATCACCGACTCGCACTTCTCCTGACTAAATAGGTGAAGCCCAACCGATCCACAACCCCCGTGCTCCACGGTAGGACCCATGATACTGGCTTCGGGTCTCACCTGGTCCGCAGGTCGCTAGTTGAGACCAGGCACAGTTATCAATACACGTGTTGGAGAGACCCTCGAAGTGACGGAAAGACCCTCGCTCGGAGATATATTCGTCAACTCGAGACAGAGAAGAGAATGGTTCTTAGGGATGCGTTCGACGGTCCGGGCTGCGACTTCTGATGAAAGGCACGTAAAGATACAGGGAGTGAGAGACGGAAAGAGAGAGAGAGAGAGACAGAGTTAGAAACAAAGGCAGAGACAAAGACACAAAGAGAGAGCAAGAGAGCGAGAGAAACGACAACAACATTCGCCGGCACCCGAGGGGGTGACAGGCTGTGAATTGGTCTGCCGGATTGCTGCCTTGTGCTCTTTGTGCTGCCTTTTACACATTGATCTTGTCTCTTCAGCCCTGTCTGCATGTTGGTGCCTATTCGGAGTCCTGAGCCCTCCAAAAATGGGGAAATCCAAAGGTACCGATACCGCTACTCCCCGGACCTCTCCTGGGCTGCGTTCTGACCAGGATCTCAAGGCGGATCCAGCCGTAGCGGCGAGGGCCTCCTAGGAGGCCCAAAAAGGGAAAAAGGGGGGGGCCAAGGGAAGGGCTTCGGTGTAGGGTTCTCCTCCTCCAAACAGGAAAAGCCCCCCCGAGGCGGTCCCTCCAGTTCCTGGCCTGTCTGGGTCGGGTGGCCCCAGGACTCCCAGGCAGGACAGTCAGGGCACCCACAGTGCGCGGCGGGGCGGGCCCTCCGGCGAAACGAGCCACAGGCACGCAGGCGCCGAGAGGACAGGCCAGGGCACACGGCGCACCGTCGGGGCGTTGACCTACAAGCTAGACTTCGATTTCCAGTGGACAAACCTCACGAAACCCGAAGGCAAAATGCAGACCAGTCAAGGGCAACCGAGCCCCTCCCCAACGAAAAGGGTTCCTTCTGCAGCGCCCCGACTGTAGCCGCGGCGGCCCCTGGGGTGCACTTCCCCCCTGGCTGGCCACCCTCGAAGGGCGCGCAAGGCTCGACCGCGGGGCGGAAGGGACGCTCCGGGGGCAAGATCTGAGGCAAGCGCTCCGAAGCGGTCTTTTGAACTGCTGGCCAGCCTGGGATGCCCAAGGGCTCCCAGTCAGGACAGCCAGGACGCCCAGCGCGCGGCGAGGCGAGCCCCCAAGAGAAGCGGGGAGACGCAAGACTCGGGCACGGGGGACTCGGGTCGGCCTGACGGGGCCATCCTCAACAGGACGATGGCCCAGCCTGAAATCCGACGCGGGCTCCCGCTGCAGACGTCCCCTCTGAGAACCGCACCGTCCAAACCCGGGACGCGCTCGGCATAAAAAAAACGCCGGCAGGCCCGAGCTCTGGCTCGCTCGAGCCTCGCGCTTCCCCGCAGAGAGGCGCCCGCCGCCCCCTCGGGAGCGGCCAAGGGGGGGGGTCCAAGAGGGGGGGGTGTAAATCATGACCGGCGGCATGTGCGCGGCCCAGCGGGGGGGCCAGGGACGTGATGACATAAGAAGGGGCGCCATGAAATCTGGGGAAATATCATGGCCCACGCCATGATATCCACCCCCCCCCCCGGGTCACCACCCCCCTCTTTTCCGCCCCCGCAGAGAGGCGCCCGCCGCCCCCGTGCGCCTTCACCGGCTCCTGCCGGGGGGCCGTGCTCGCCACGGCGGAGTACTTGGCGGCCACGCGGGCCTGCGGGCGGCGGGGCGCACCCTCCAGACGCCCTCGCGTCGCCGCCGTCGTCGTCGTCGTCGTCGTCGTCGTCGTCGTCGTCGTCGTCGTCGTCGTCGTCGTCGTCGTCGTGGTCGTCGTCGTCGTCGTTCAGGGTCGGCGGCGCCGGCCGTGAGGCCCCTCCAATCGCGGCAGGAGGTTTTTCGCTGCTTTCGGCCTCTGAGGGCCCTTTGCCAGGCCCCGGGACCGTCAAAGAAAAACAGCTCGGGAGGAAGAATCGGTCCTGGAGAAGGGGTCCAGACCTCTGCGGGTCGACGCTAGGAAACAAGCGTGACGTCGGGGGCCCAGGATGAGCGCACTGCCGAGAAAACCGACTCGGTGATCGAACAGAACGCCTTATCCGCCACCGTGCTCTGAGGCACGAACTGGTGTGTCCTCAGGTCCTTTGCCTCATCCCTGGAGCCTCAGTCCTCAGTCCTGCGGATTATTCCAGAGGGCCCGGGACCCACAGCTCTCAAATCTACCGGGGCTTCCCTGCATGCCCCCCGGGCTCACCCGCGTCTTCTCGCGCAACTTCTTCGGAGCCAAGACAGCTCCAGGACGGGCCAAGCAAGAGGGCCCCAGGAGGGCTCCGAGTCACAGAAAGATCTTTCCAAGCCGCTCCAAATGGCCTCCAGACGGCCCAAGACGCCTCCAAGAAGCCTCCAAGAGGCTCCCCAAGAGGGCTCCAATAGGCTTCCTTAGGCGGGATGTTAACCTTCTCGCCTTTTCAGTTTCCCGACGCTCCAAGACGGCCCAAGGGGCGCGCGAGATCGCTCCAAGACGGCCCAAGAGGTCCTCAAGAGGGCCCCAAGACTGGGCAGGAGAGCGCCAAGAAAGCCCAAGAGGCCCACAAGACGGCTCAAGGGGTGCCCTACGTGCTAGACTTCAGGTGGTTGTTGCTGGTTCATTCTAAAATTATCCGTGGGGTTTCGGCACAGCGCAACGACCACCGGAATGCTTGCCCAGAGCCAATTGGCAAGGATGTTTCCGCTCCGGATGGGTCTAAGAGATGGCACAAGATGGGCTCCAAGACGGCCAAGATGGCCTCCAAGTTCGCCCAATATGGCCTCCAAGATGGCCTCCAAGATGACCCAAGAGGGTCCAAGACCAAGACGGCCCAAGATGGCTTCAAGATGGCCCAAGACGGGTTGAGAGGCCCACAAGAGGCCTCCAAAACCCGAGGAGGTAAAGATCTGTGATTTCTTGTGGTTTTCGACGTATTGCGTGATTCGGGTTATGGTTTTCGTCTCACCCACGTCACCCGCGTTCCTCAGTCACACCCTCTCCCGCATCACACAGTACAGCGCACCACAGCGCAGCAGAGCACAGCACAGCACAGCTCAGCACAGCACACAGCACACACACACACACACACACAGCACAGCACAGCACAGCACAGCACAGCACAGCATAGCACAGCACAGCATAGCACAGCACGACCCGCAGGGGGTGAGGATATTTCGCTGGCAATTTCAGTTCCCTCGACACCACGAGGGGCGCGCTGGTCCCCGAGCGCGGCATCTATGCGGGCCATGGCGCAGGGCACAGCAGGCGTGACACTTTCTCGACACCAAAGGGGGTGCGCAGGGGGTGGTCTCTCACCGCGGCTGCTACTCGCGCCCCTCGTCCAATGCTTAGCAGCCGTGGCACTCTGTCGACACCAGAGGTGGTGCCCAAGGGGTGGTCTCTCACCGCGGCCGCTATGCGGGCCTCTCGTCGAAGCATAACAGGCGTGGCACTTTTTCGACACCACAAGGGGTGCGCAGAGGGTGGTGTCTCACCGCGGCCGCTATGCGCGCCTCTCGTCCGGGGCATAGCAGGCGTGGCGCTTTCTCGACACCAGATGGGATGCGCATGGAATGGTCTCTCACTGCGGCCAGTACGCGCGCCTCTCGTCCAGGCAACGCAGGCGTGGCACTCTCTCGACACCAGATGGGGTGCGCAGAAGGTGGTCTCTCACCGCGGCCGCTATGCGCGCCTCTCGTCCAGGCACAGCATGCGCGGTACTTTCTCGACACTAGAGGGGGTGCGCAGGGGGTGGTCTCTCACCGCGGCCGCTACGCGCGCCTCTCGTCCAGGCAAAGCAGGCGCGGCAGTCTCTCGACACCAGAGGGGGTGCGCAGGGGGTGGTCTCTCACCGCTTCCGCTATGCGCGCCTCTCGTCGAAGGCGTAGCAGGCGTGGCACTTTCTCGACACCATAAGGGGTGCACAGAGGGTGGTTTCTCACCGCGGCCGCTATGCGCGCCTCTCGCCCAGGCGTGGCACTCTCTCGACTCAAGAGGGAGTGCGCAGGGGGTGGGTTCTCTCAGTTTAGGGCGAGCGGCCTTTTCAGGAGGACGCAAGGATGCACAAGCCTGGGG